ATTCATCGTTTATTCAAACAAACGCCAAATTCTATTACCATTAAGAATGACGATGATTTATGTTTATTTTTGAGTGAACTGGATAATGAAAAGAACACGAAACATGAATTAATAAAATATGTACTAAAACAAGAGCCAATGGGTAAGATCAAACGTTCTTTTTTTCTATTAAAATACTTTGAGACCAAAGGAGTTTTTCAGTCGTTGTGATGACTCAATCGCACTAGAATGAGTTCGATTCCTAATTGATTCTGATTAAGTTCAGCAAGGATGCATTTTATTCTTCGCAATTTGTATTTAATGAGCTACACAGTCACACTTAGTCTTATCCTCCTATCTCCTCTGCTATCTACTAAGGAACATTTATCTCTAGTATTTGAATTTATTTCTGTTCATTGTTTAGAACAAGATGAGAGTAGCGAATATTATCCAAAAGCAAATCTCCTATGTAACAAATTTCGTTATTATTTTCTTAATTCCGATGATATTAATCCTATGAATTATATTAATTCAATCTTAACATCATTTGTTAAACAATCGCCGTCAAATTTTGAAGGAGCATTGGACTATTTAGCTCGTCTTCAAGAACAAACGTCAACTAATTCAAAAATTCTTGATGGTGCCATACGTTATTTAAATTATTTTATTGATATTGATCGATTGTACAATATTGCACTAGGTACATATAATTTTAATCTTGTTTTGATGATAAGTGAAAAAACACAAAAAGATCCAAAAGAATATTTACAATATCTGAATGAATTAAAACAAATTCAGTCTGAGTCATGGAGACGATTTAGAATTGATTGCCATTTGAAACGTTTTAAAAAAGCAATTGAAAATGGTTGTGACCATTTTGTTTCTATAACAGACGAAGAAAATGATAAATTTCAAGAATTTCTATCGATTTTGGAGAAAAATCGTTTATATAAAGTAGCAATAAGAAGATTTTTGACGAATAAAGATATAGTATTAACATCAATTTATGTTAATGAAGTGATAAAATTATATGGTAATTATTTGATGACAAAAAAATATTATATTGAAGCTGGACTGGTGTTTGAACGAGGAAATTTGACGAAACAAGCACTGAATGCATACGAACAAGGAAAAGATACAGAAAATTATTTGAAATTAGTTGAAAGAATGAAACACGAACATAACAGTAGTGAACCTAGTGATCAACTACAGGTACAGAAATTCATGATAAACAATTTTTAAGAGCCCACCTTGTCAACAACCTATTTTCGTTCCAGAACATCCGCTCTTGATAAAATTTTCGCAGTGTATCTTATTGTAGAAGGGTGAGAATAAATGTTTGAGCCCGAAATGCTGAATTTTCCAAAGTTATCATAAAATAAGGGTCAAAAAGTAGGTATTTGTGTGGCAGAAATTCCTCAGCCATTGTAAATACTAAAAAGCTCGGGATGCTCTCTCAGATTGTAGCCAGGACTTGATGCTACAATGTAACAGAGCCAGAGTCCTCAAATCTTTTTTTGCTTAGTTTCCCAAAACTTTTATAAAAAAAGTTGCAAAAGTTTCTGTTAACTTTTCACGAAATTTTATTTCTCTCAAAATCTCAAGTGGAAACCAAAAATTCGGCTTTTTTAAGTTGTAGCGTCAGTTCTTGGCTACATTTTGCTAGCATCCCGAGCTTTTTACTAGGTACAATGGCGGAGAAATCTTTGCTGTATAAACAGCTTAAAAATAACGATTTCAAGAAAAATGGCGTACGTTTGCTAATGCACTTTAGGACTCGTAGAAAAACGCTTGTAACTTTTTAACAGAAGGTCCTACAGAGGTGTGCTATATTTCATTTTGACCAGAAAAAATTTCTCTACAAATCTGTGTATTTAAAAAGCAATTTAATTGGCTAAGTATCGTAAAAAATAGTCGAATTCGAATGTTTTCTTTTTCAATATTTTCATGAATATTCACTTTTTGACAAGGGACTCTTAATGTATCAAAGAAAATGTATGTTTATAGTCAAGTATCCTTTCTTCTTCTTTTTCTAGAACATCTCACCGATAATTATTGTCCAGCAACAACAACATTATCGTTCAATGGCAGAAACTTTATGTAATGATTCGTCATATCTTGATTCTGGTCGTATATATGAATATTATATTGGTGACTATGAAGAAGCATTTTTGTCGTATTTAAAGGGTCACGAATGGTCTCATGTATTACGTCTATTTGAAGTAGAACAATTACGAAAACGTCAAGATTTGTATGATAATGAATTTCTCACAACATTTGTCGATTATTATGAACAAATATTAAGACAAATTAAAAATGATCAAGAAAAATTTTTTCTATATTTTAAACGTTTGTTAACTATTCGAGAAAATCTTTTTCAACATATAAAACAATTGTTAGATAATGGAAAAGATTTTGATATAGATGATGATGATGAAAATGAGGATGAACGTGAAGATGATATGAATATTGATCGAAGAACAGTAAATAAAGATGAAACAGGTTCAATTCGTACACGTTTATCAAAAAAATCAACAGCATCAACAAGTAAAAAATCACAACGTCGTTTAAATCAACAGGAACAAAAATTAGTAACGTTGAAAGAAAATTCAAAACATGAAGATTTGGCTCTAATTAAAGAATTGTGGTTATTATCTACAAGAGTTGATCAATTAAATAAAGATATTAAACATGTATGTAAAACATTGTATCAAATAACAACAAAGAAGAAGATTTTAGATTATGAATTAAAAGCTGAACATTTACAAATAAATTATGAAAAATCGATGAACGGTATTGAAAAATGTTTATCGAAAATATGGTTGAATGAACAGACAAACACAAGTACATTGACTAAAGTAGATAATATGAATGTTCAAACAAACTTAATACAAAAGAAAATTAAAGAAAAATTAAAAAAAGATCTTGATTTATTATCAAATCAATATCGGATACTACCGACTGTGACAAAAGCAACAGTATGGAAACTCATATGTTTAGAAATGGATGTTTAATTACAATTATCTGTGTGATATCAATCGGATCATAAGTTCACTCTTTTTTCCAATGATCACATGTAACAACAGTATGATATTACATTCTCAAACGACCTTGAATTGAAACTTCACGTGATTTTCTCTACTAGTCTAAGATTCTGTTTTTACCGATAAGATAATTACATTATGTTCTATATTTAAGTGATCGGTTAGTAAACGTGTCAGCCGTTTTTTCAATTGTCTCACGAGACTATTTAGTTGAGATCTGAACTGAAATATTTTGTATCGTAAATTTTATCGAATAGAGGATGTTGCAAAGAAAAGTATACATGTTGACTTTGTTCTAGTGAAAGTAGCTTTGAATCTAACCATCGATATGAGTGAAGAAGATTTAAAGCACTTGTCGATTATGCAATAATCACTTGTTTACTTTGTTGTTTTTCTATGAACATGTTATTTTTTTATACTTTTTTTTTAGAAACATGTTTTTTTAAAAACAAATTCAGTATATGGGTTTGAATGATTTTTTCCGTGATATTTGTTGACTTTTATATAGAAAAAATGCTTGTTTTCTTGTTAAATTTTTCTATATTAGAAAAAGGTTATTGTTAATGATTGTCGTTTGTTCTTCTCACCAGCTATGTCTTTGCTATCTGACAACATATTCATAATAGCTGTATGGTTTAAATTGTAGCATCTTAGTGACGAGAGCTATAAACAAGAAATCCTTAGGTCAGGGTTATTTACAACGATATTTAATCAAGAATCTTATTTTTATTGTATGAAAGTAAAACTGACTTCATAGTTTACCGTTTATGATTCTGATTATCTCTAATTAATGAATATTTCTTTACTATTTTCAGATAAACATCGTCAAGCATCCATTTTTATTTGTTTCAATAGGTAAATCACCATGTCAGATGATTTTTATTTACGATATTATGTTGGTCATAAAGGTAAATTGACGCAATAAACCAAATCAAACTCTTTTAATGATACTTTAATTTATTGTCTTTTTTCCCGCTCGGTAGAACTTTATTGAGCAATTTCATTGATTGTATTTATTTCCATTTCTAGGTAAATTTGGTCATGAATTTTTAGAATTTGAATTTCGTCCTGATGGTAAACTACGATATGCTAATAATTCAAACTATAAAAAGGATACATTAATACGTAAAGAAACGTATGTTAATCGTGGTGTTATTGAAGAATTAAAACGTATTGTCAATGATTCCGATATAATGAAAGAAGATGATGCTGTTTGGCCACCTCCTGATCGTGTTGGTAGACAGGAATTAGAAATTGTACTTGGTGAAGAACATATTTCGTTTACAACATCGAAAATTGGTTCCTTGATTGATATTAATAATAGTCGTGATCCAGACGGATTAAGATGTTTTTATTATCTGGTACAAGATTTAAAATGTTTTGTATTCTCATTAATTGGTTTACATTTTAAAATTCAACCAATATAGAAAAAAAAAATTACATTAAACAATAATATAATTCGAATGCTATTGTTGTACTTTTCTGTATCTATTGTTCTTGAACAAACTTTTTCATGCTATACTTTGTTTGTTTTCTTTGTTTCTGTTAAAAATGAAGTTTTTTCGGTATTATGTCGTTGTTACATAAATAGTCAAAAAAAAAAAACAATTTGCTGTTCATGACACTGGAAGACAATAAATTTAAAAAGGCTTCTCTGAGCTAGTGTCTATTGGAAAATATATTTTTAGACGATGTGCTGTATCTTAAAGAAATCGTGTTTATGTTTGGAAACCAAAAGTAAGTCTTTTACAAGTGCACAATATCTCCAATATATCTGTATGTATTTACCATACTTATGACGATGTAGTTAACTGTATATAATTCTTGAATTTGATATTCTTCTTCGATCAAGTAGAGGGGTTATAAACCTTGGTAGTATAGAACAGTTTGATAGTTTCACAAATTCTGGTGTCGATGTAACAGTAGTGATTATTTCATCGTATAATCACTAGATTCACTTGAAAAGGTGTTTAAACTCGTATTCCTTAGCTTTACGAAAAATTTTGTTTAAGAAGTTTCCAGTGTCTATGCTACACTAATTTCTGCCATTTGTAGACGTTAAACTATGCATTCGATTTTCTCTCCATTATTTTTTTTAGAAATAAATCGAAAAGAAATATTATTCAGTATGCCATCTGAAGATTCTTTATCAATTGATCAACATAATCAAGACGAAAATTGTTTGTCAAAATTTCATTGGATTGGGAGTTATGGACCATGCTTTCAAGTTCCTGTCTCAAATTTTGAAGTATTGTACGAACCGTCAGAATTTTTTAATGAAATGAAAACAATGTTTTCAAATGCAAAACAACGTATTTATATTTCTTCATTATATCTTGGCACAGACCCATATGAACATGAATTGGTACGATAAAGGCTTCCTCTACTTTGTTATAGGTGACTAAGTTTTGTCGAGAAAACTAACAGGATATTTTGGTAGAAATCAGAAGCATTTCGTATTCTAAAACTATTTTTAAGAAAAATTTCGCATTTTTATTCTTGTAAACGTGAGGGAAGAACTGGTGAATGTTACATAATTTAAGTTAAAGACTCTTTTGCAAAACTTCTGTATGTCATATGGTACATGCAATGTGGTGTTTTTAATTCAACTCTTTTTGTTTTTTAACTGTAAAAATATGTGAAGGGTCACAAATAGGAGCAGAACATTAGAGGGGTGTAAAACAAAATTTCTCTTTGATATAAAAATTGATAAAAAAAGTATTTGTGCGAGGAATAATGGATAAAATAACAACAGCTTTTTCGACTATTCAAGGAGTGCGCATCCTCACACACCCTTCCTTTTTGAGGTGCCTTTATTTGCACCTGTGAATATGTAGTGTTTTTTTAATGCATATAACTTTCTACCGAGAAATCGCGCATAAATGTATCACGTTTTATTTTATCGAGAAGACTTTACTCTACAAAGCCAGACCTTCCAGAAATAGTCTGATCACATATTATTGGGTCACAACAGTTTCGTTTTTGAAAACATTTTGTTTAAATCCATCGAAAATGTTTAAAAAATCTTCAAAGAGCACTTATAAAACACACAGTGATATATTCTAAAAGTTGACAAATTAGTAGACTCACCATCCATTATCATAAAATGGAAGTCATCTAGAAGACCATTGTCTTTTTCTCGAATAAAACGCAATATTGTTCGAAATTTTATGACAAAAAAATAAAAACGAAAAGAATAAGATAAATTATACTTCTGACCTTATTCGAGGAGAGAAAGTAAAGATATCACTGGTAAAAAAAATATCAGTTTTTTCGTATGAACGACTCATGAATAATTAATTCATGAATTTGTTTAGATTGACTCAATACGAACAGCATTAGAGAAGAATTCTAAAACGTTCAAGGTATTCGTGTTACTTGACCGTCTACGTGGTTTGAGAATCGATAATATGGCTACACAAAAAAATTCAAAAACAATGTTTCTACCGTTACTACAACAGTATAGTGATCAAATAAAATTTTTTCTATTTCATACGCCATTGTTACGTGGCATATTGAAAAAACTTATGCCAAATCGAATTAATGAATCATGGGGTGTTCAACATATGAAAATATATATGGCAGATAATGATATGATAATAAGTGGGTAAAGATTAACCATTCTACTATTTGTATATCAAGAAAATAGTTTAATATAATGATGTAAATACATTATTTCATTTCAGGGCAAATTTAAACAAAACATATTTTGTTAATCGTCAAGATCGTTATTTGAAATTAAAAAATTGTTCAGAAATATGCGACTTTTTTGTTAATATTATCGAATCGATTGCGAAATATTCATATGAGGTTAAACCAGATTCAACAATAATTTATAATGAAAAATTTCATCCTTATAAAGGTACGCCTTTAATACTAGTAAATTCAATTTCATTAGTGAGAGATAATACTCAAAATTTTTAATTCCTTTTTCAATGTTTAAGTTTTCTTGAAAGGTGAGATCTTCCCCTAGTTAGGTATCACTTTTATTTGCACTCAGTTTATTGTATGAAAGTTCTAGTTTGATCTACGATGTATTTCTATAGGTGATTACAATCGTTACACAGAGGAAGTGCATCAAACAATATCGCTATTAATGGATAAATACTGTTCACGTCATATGATACCATCAACACTAGCCACTGATAAAGCACTTGTTGTACCATTGATACAAATGGGTCCATTTAATATTCAGTATGATCGAGATTTTAACATTAAATTATATTCAACATTGACAATGAATTCTCATCTATTTTTGGCCACATCTTATTTCAATATGACGGAAGAATATGAAAATGCGTTAATTAACAATAAAAAACAAGAGAAATATGTTAAATTATTGACAGCATCACCTCAAGCAAACGGATTTTATGGTAGTAAAGGAGTCAGTCAATGGGTACCGACAGGATATACTGAATGTGAACGAGAATTTGTTGAACGAGCTGAAAAGGCTGAAACTAATACAGATAATAAGCTTATTCAGATGTATGAATACTATCGTAAAGATTGGACATATCATGCAAAAGGTTTATGGTTATATGAAACATCTCTGAAGAATAAAAATGATAGGGTAGACAAGAATAATTTTCTACCAAGTTTAATATGCATCGGATCTCCAAACTTTGGTAAGTGTATTAGATAGACTTTACAGAATAAGTGATCTTTGATATTTCTTTCTAGGTGCACGATCAATTCAACGTGATTTAGAAGCTCAATTGTGCATTATTACAGATAATCGTGAATTAAGATTAAAATTTCATCAAGAACGTGTACGTTTATTTCAATATGGTCATGCAGTATCATCTCAAACATTTAAGCACCCTTCACGTATAGCTCCATTTTGGGCACCGTACTTTATGAAAGTTTTTCGAAACTTTTTTTGAATTTTAAACTTCAGTTTTTGCCTATTTGTAGAATAGCCTTAAAATACAAAAACAATAGATATTTGACGGTAATGCGTATTATGTTCTCGTACTTGGTGTGGATTCATAGAGAAAAAATTACTCTAAAAGGTACAATACAAATACCATAAATGATTATGGCTATAAAATTAATAGCATGAGGCTAAAAACATTAAGATTTCATTTTTAACGAGTCTCTTTTGCATTTTCTCAATTGTAGTTCAAAAATTTTCAAATCATTTTCGTGTGTTTGCATATCATTTATGAGTTGTTGCCTCACACGTTTTTGTTTAGTCAATTTCATTTTTAGATTATTTTTTGAATTTGTTTTTTTTATTATATTTTCTCGTCGCTGATATATATCATTTAGATTCACACATAACATTTGTTTTTCATCATAGATTACTTTTAATTTCGTTAATTTCGATGTTTTAACTACTAATTTCTTTTTCAATATGAAGAATTTCCTTAATAAATTATATTGATCCGGTGATGTTATCATTAATGTTCGCCAATAGTGTACATGATTCTTCTTTTTCAATTGTGATTCTAATTGTTTTTCAGCATGTCTCAATTGACTATAATTATGTTGAGAATCTAATAGTTTACTCTTGTAATAGAGTAAATATTTCAATGAATAATTTAAGGTCAGTAATTGATTATAATATTTTGTTAATATGACTATATCTATTTGTAATTGAGCTATAATTTTATCTTTATTAGTTTGTTCATATGTTAGTAAAGCTACATGATTATACAATAGTTTGAGTTCACTATTTAATTTTGATTGACGTTGACCTAATAATTGTAAACGAAATAGATAATTGGAATATTCACGTTTTAATTTATTATTTTCATCACATGCTGAATTGTATATTTCTCGAAAATCTTTATAAATAATCGACGATGTTTTTAAATCAGTTTCCAAATTTTTGATATGATCTTTTGTTTGTTGAGTTATCACTTTGGTACGTTGTAAATGAATATTTTCTTGTTTTAATACGAATTCATTTTGTTTTAAATTATTCGTTAGTTTAGTAATTGTCTGTTTAAATTGTACTACATTGGCAATGTTTTGTTTTAATCGAAGTTTGACATTCGATTGTTGCTGTTCACATGTGGCAATATTTTTTTGATATCTTGTTACATCTAAATAAATGTAATAAATTGTACACTAAAACTTAGATAATTGTAAAAAATCATATTTACCATTTGCCAATGGTTCTTCATTATTGACTAATTTTTGTAGTTTATTTTTCAATTTATTTATCTAAACACAGTAAAATAGTAATTTTAAAATCTAAGTTTTTGTTTTTTCGTCAATATATAGACAATAAAAACTGTTTCTCATATTACTTCTGTTTTGGATTGATCTTTTTCTGATCGTTGTGCATTTAGTTCTTCATGTGTCATTTGTACACAATTGTTCAGACTATGTAAAGTTTTTGTGTGACTATTGATGTCAAGTTCTTTTAATTTTGTCACTTGTCGTTGTTGTCTTACTTGATTTGTCCATAATTCAATTTCATTTCTTGTACTTACTAATCGTTGTTCATTGGTATCAACTATATGATAAAAAGCGAAGAGGTACTATATCTCGTTCAATCAATAATGTTCATCAAATTTTAATTATTACTTGTTTTTGTTAAGTGTATTGTAACTTCTGCTTGTTTCGTCTGATCTTTTAGCAATTGTCTATATGATCGTATCACATCTTTTACTTGATGTGTTGAACGTTCAACATTTTCCTCTAAAGATTGATTTTTTGATGTTAATTGTTTGATCTCATCAAGTAAACGTTGCTGTTCTTTGAGCATACACGATTTATCATTTTCAAATAATTGAATACGTCCTTGTAGCAATTCACGTTGTTTAATCAATTGGTTTTCTGTTAATTCTAGTTGTTTTAATTTTGTAGTTTGAGTCATCATTAAACATTGAGTATTTATAATCATTTGTTCCCCATCCATACGTTTCACAATAGCTAAAAACATAAAAGACAAGGCAAGACCGAGTTAGATAGAAACATTCCTTTCAATACAATCGATTCTTTTCGATTGGATCCACATTATTTCCTAAACTTTTGCTCCTTGAAGTTTTTAATACCTGTGGTACTGTTCAGAATTTCTCAAAAAACGTTTTGTCTTGGTATACACATGTTCAGAAGCATACACGGTAGATCGAACCATAAATATCACCTTTCTAGTTAGAAAAAGTAGAGTTTTGACGAAAAACATCGAACTTTCGGTCAAAACTTCTTTTAAATGACAAATTTTTACGATTTAGATCCAATTTATATATTTATAAATGTATCCTGGAACAGTAAATATCGCTACATACTTTGAAGTATTCCTCACTTCTCAATATCGTTTTTTCTACTGATAACAGATCAAAGACTGAAATATGCGTGGTCGTGACCTCTATCAATAAAACTCGATGTTTTTAGTCAAAACTCTACTTTTTCTAACTAGAAAGATGATATTCATGGTTCGATTTACTGTGTATACTAAGACAAGAAATTTTTTTGAGAAATCGTGAACAATACCACAAGCGTTAAAAACTTCATGGAGCACAACTTAATGGATGAGAGTTACTTTTTCCAGTAAGTTAATACCATTGGCTGTATCATGTTTATATTTTTCTAATTGTGTTTCAAAAATCAAACGTGATTTATGATAGACTTCAATTTGATTTTGTGTCTGATAAATTAATTTCATTAACGAGTGCATTTTATTAACAACCAATTTATAATCGTGTAGTAATGACCGAGCATCATCTGTTGACAAAACGATTGTTGTCAATGTTCTTGCTGCTTGTTCTTGAATTTGATTATTTATAATTTGATCATTTTCTATCTGTCGTTTCATTTCCGATGAATCATATTTTATTTTTAATATCAATGTTCGAAAATTTTCTAAAGATAATTCAATTTCTTTTAATTTCAATAACAGTTCTCCATGTTCATTTTCTAAAAAGTGTAATGTAACATTTTGTTCTTCTTTTTTACTTTGAGCTAAATTTATTAACAGACGTAAATCGTCGTACGTTAACTTGAGTGTAGTTTTAGAGCCTGTCATGGATTCCAAAATATAACATAGTCGAAACATATTTAGACGTAATATTTGTATTAAATGCCATGTATTTAATTCACGATTTTTAACATCGGCTAATATCTTGGTTAATTCGTAAAATTTTTGTTTAAATGAATCTAAAGCAATTTGATCTAATTCCTTTAATTCTGTGACATACTCCAATTTTGACCAACTCTGACTTAAATCTTGTTTTAATCGACGAATCTCGTTTATCAAAAATGTTTGTAAATATTTTAACTGAATACCTAAACAGCAACATATTATTTTTATGTTTATCTATAAAAGGCTAAGCAGATCACCTAGTTGGTCAATCTCTTCTATGAAATGACCAATATCCGTATGTTCAATAGTAGCAATATGATTTACGGCTAATTGTAGTTCTTGAAGTTGATTTTGAAATACGTTCACTTGGAAATTTGTAATATCCAAGTTTTTTGTTGAACTTCGAAAATCATCGAGCAATGCCATTCGTATCAAAGAAAGACTTTTAATCTGTCAAACAGAATAGTAGTCTGTTAAATTTAAGATAAATTTCTTCTTGTATAATAAACTCGAATCGCGCCAAAGAGGATGGAAGATCTTTAATTTTGCTGTCAAACAGGAACAAATCTCATCGAACTTAACCCGAAAAAGATGAGCCAGTTGAACCAATTAATAAAATGAGTAAACAAAAAATTTTATCCATACGTAAACATCAGTGAATAAGATCAATAAATACAACGATGTTACTACGTTTATTTGCAAATATTTCTCTAGACAAATGTTCCCACTTATCCGTTTGAGTAGGAAGCAAAAAGCTATTTAACTCAGAGTTGTAGCCGGATCGGTAGATCGGTCGGTCTTCTGCCGGCCTAGTAAGATTTTCAAACCGGCCGGTGATTGGCCGGTTTTGAAATTCTTAGAATTTTTCTCGTCTTCACTAAAAAAAATGAGTTTTTCTACCCTCTTGTCCGTCTAGAAAATATCTGAAAACCGGCCAATTTTCTGCAGTTTTTTGACCAGTCTAGAGAATTTTTGAAAATCCATAGGTCTTTTGCCGATTTTTCACCAGTCTAAACCGAGTTTTGGACCGGCCGGCCCGATTCGACCTTTTATTTTTAGACTGGTTACAACTCTGATTTAACTTCGCAAAACAAACTGAAGTTGGAAGTGACGGATGAAAAGGTAGTATGTCAGGTAGATTTTGCAGAAAACTTTGGTATGAAAGAACAAGATGAGATACAGTCTGCTCATTGGAATACAAAAACTTTGTCTATCTTTACAGCATATGTTTGGTCTAAAAGTGATGGATTAT